AAAAAAAATAGAAATCTAAAGTCTGGAGCTAAATATTGCATAAAAAACAATTTGGATCTCTTTAAAAAGGTTGGATACACAAAGAAGCTCGATGTATGGGATTCAATCGAATTAACGAGGCAAAAAATTGAAACAAAATCGAACCATTTCTGAAGCGCATGGTAACTGATGATGATAAGTAGATCAATTACAGCAATAGGACACCTGCAGAAACCGTTTCGTAAGCCTGTATAGACGGCCAGTAAGGATTTTGTTGTGTGTTTGGTGGGATTGGCAACAAATCATCCACTATATGCTGATCCCATACCATCAAACTCTTAATTCAGAACTGCACTGTCAGCAATTGAACCGTCTGAAGAAAGCAAACGCTCAGGTTCTACGAACAGGAGAGAACTTATGTTTAAACAGAACAATGCCAGACGACATACATCGATAGTAACTCACCAGAAGCTCCCACAGCTTGGTTGGCAGATTCTTATGCAGCCATCTTATAGTCCAGACCGCCAGAGCTGCTCCTCCAATTTGTGGCTTCGCGTCTGGATATTTTCCCAACAAATGGGTAAACTAAACTAAATAAAGGCTTCAATATAAAGCAAAAATAATGGACTACTTTTTACTAGGCCTAATATTAACTTTGATCCAATGTGTGTAAGTCCCAGAAGGATAAGAAATTAACCCATCAAAAACTTATATATGGTTCACCATTCACATATATAAATATATTTATTAAAGGTCTTGTCTTCACGGATCAACCCCCAGTCTGACCGAATGATGCCAGAGACTGAAACTTCGAAGGTGGGCTCTCCGTATGACATATGCACCCGATAATAAAATATTTTCTGCAAAGTGGAACTGGGACCGATCTATTCGAGAAAAAATTATTTATTTTCAAGTCATTTGATTTATATGAAATTTGGTTCACAGGCCGTTCTTTACATAAACTGCTATGAGGAACATTTTTTCTTGCAGGAAGAGATCCTGGGACTGATCTATTCGAGTTAGCTTATGGTCTAAAATACCAGAGCTGAAGTGAGTGAAGGCTCCCTAAGGACATATCTATTACCAAATACTTTGAAGTATAGAAGCAGGATTTGGCGAGATGCTCTTTTTCTTTTTGAATGCTCCTGGTGAAACAGGCAAGATTTTTATGCCAAAGTGAAAACCAAACAGCGGAATCGCTATCACGCTGCTGGAGGAGTTATTGTATTGTTAGCAGGCGATTTCCGTCAGTATTTACCAGTTGTGCCCAGAGGAACACGAACGAACGAAGTTAGGTATGCGTGAAGCCATCTCACTATCGCAATGGCCTTCAGTGCAAAAGTTGAGCCTCAACCGTGTTGTTTCCACAGCCTTAAAGAGAGCTTATGCTAAGCAGAAATAATATTCACGATAAGCCCGTAGGCCGAACGAAAATCGCCTCAGCGGCTATTGAGCGCCAGCTACAATATATAAACCCGCCGTATGGTTATACGAACGTGCCATATTGGCACTATAAAATTACCAGGCCTCAGTTATAACTTAAAGACTCTAAAATCATTCGAAGGGTTCGAATATCAATGTAAGTCCGTCGCGAAGAATTCCTAAATACACTAAAAGCTCTCGGTCTCCCAATTTATAAATTAAATTCAGATTAGGTGCAATATAAATCCACGAAAAAATTATAGTTTTACTTAAGCTTTAATTCTCTACGTTATAATAGAAATTAAAATTGAAAGCATTCAAAAAATTTCAGAAACAATTTACTATATTACTATAAAAAAAATATTTAAAAAAATTTAATTCATTTTAAATTCCATGCGGACGAAGTCACTGGTAATCTCTAGTAAAATTATAAGCTACTAATTCGCATAACGGTACAGTAGCATTCTTTGAAAGTATCTTTTATATTCGAAAATTGTTTGCCTTATCCTCACAACTATTTTTAGAAACGGAAGAACTCGAAAAGAGTTGTATGGACCTTCTTCGGTATTTCAACATTGAATAACTCTTTCGGTTAGCTCATTTGTCAAAATCGGCTGGAAAATATCAGAGTTCCTAGGTCTAGGTGACGCACCTGTATATAAATTTACATATATATATATATATATATATTTCAATTGTAAAATAAATATTTAGTTAACGGTAATTATAACACCACAGCAATTATTTTCCCCGAATTGCAAACCATTTTGAAACCATAAAAAAATCGATAAAAAAAAACAGCGCAATTTTTTTTCTTGCTGCTAAATTCGCATATTTCTTGTATTTAACCATTTTTGAATTGGCCGCAATTCGACCTACTTTTCTTTAAAAAAAAAAAAACACAACAAAAATACAAAAAAAAAACTTGTTTTCCGCTGACAATTTATTTTAAATTTTCTGCTTTTTCTTACACACTTTTCAGTTGGTTTTGGCAAGACGACGCTTATGCTCAAGGCCATCGAGCCAACCAGCCTAATACATATATGTACAGTATGTATACTATCATAAATCTTTAAGCTAAAAAACATAAATTTTTGCAAACTACTTTGTATTTAAATTCCAACAAGTTTGAAAGGCATATTTTTAGTTAATTTGCTTTAGGCATATTTTTCTATGAATTACGTATATTTGCATATATGAATAAATGCATATAAATTAATAATATAACAAAATAAACATTTGAACGCAAACTAAAAATTTATATTTTTTACTTGAGGAAGGAAAGAAAATATTGATAATATTAAAAATTAATTTGTCACTAGATGGATGAATGGATGGTTGGTACTTTTATTTCGGTCGAAATTACTCGAATTGTGCCAAACTAATAAGACAAACAGACTACAAATATTATCTGCATTATATGGCTTTATTTGCATTAACTCGTGACCAGACCACCTGTCAACGATGTAGATAGTTAGCCAAAAACTGACGTAGCTCATTTGGGATGTGCTGATGCATTTATCATATATCCCGGACTCTACACAATCTGACTATAATTATTTTCGGTCTCTGCAAGAACCCTCTTCATGGGGTAAAATCGGTAAAATCGGCCAACCGAACGGCCATTAAGAATCATTTGATCCAGTTTATCACCAATAAACAATAGAAGGTTCAATCATACTGATAAAATTATGAAGCTACCATAAAAATGGCAAAAGCTCTTCTTCTTCTTCTTAATTGGTCTAGGCGCCATTCGTTTCCGCTTTAAGCTATTCGATGCCAGTTAAAAATACCAATATTCAAAATTATAGAAAATTAATTTTTCTAATTGCCGTCGACGCTCGGAAGGGAATGTTCGTAGGCGGTTCAGAATAAACTAAATAAAAACAGAACAATTTTATTTATTTTGATTTGCAAAGGGAATCAATAATAAAAGAATTTTTCAAAATTTAAAAAATGTTTTAAGGAACACATTTCAGCAAACACATATCAATATCGGTAATATTCCAGGTGAAAAATCGGTATGAAAAAAACGCTTTAAAAAAATCCTATTTTCTCAAACTTAATTATGCTAAAAATATTATGAGCATTTTTATTTTTGGGTAAAAGTGCGGAGCTTTTTTAAGTGAAAATTTGTTTTTCAAGTTTTTTTATGTGAAAATTGTTTCATGTGAAAAGTTTTGTTAATTAAACTCAGTAACTTAAAATATTTTTATAATTGCTAAAAAAAAAGCGTTGAATGAAGATGAAGTAGAATATATGTATGTATATTGGTTTTGAGCAGTCATAACACTTGATATCCATGCACACATTCATACATATGTATATGGATAAATAAGAAATTATAAGCTGATTGAAAGTGAGTAATAAGTGCCATTATTATCAGTATACATACATACATACTATATAGGTACAAAATATATTTTTGTTCCATGCAACAAGTGAAATAAAATCACGAACTTTCAATATCGAAAGCGAAAAACCCATACTCAGTTTGTAGCGCGATATTTGAGTCATCTTCTCAAGTGGCGCCGACTTGACCAAGCCATTGAAGATTGAACGGTGTAAAAATTATGAAGGCAGTCATATTTACATATATACATACGAGTATGTATGCAAAAAATTTATATACAAAAATAAAAACAAAAAATAGAATTTCAACTTTTTTTTAAATTCAAAAAATTTAACTATTTCTTACACTATCAGACAACATTTCATTTAGATGTAACTAAAACTAACTCGAACGTACATATATGTATATACAATATAAGTACGTGACACGCACGTGTACACGCAGAAGACAGTATGTACGATGGTAGGCAAAGCAAAACATAAAAATGGTTTTCTTCTTCTCCATTTCATTTTGCCTTCATGCGGTCTAAAATTTTAAATATTTCGCCATCATGACGCTGAGCTCGCTAATGTATTGCTGGTGTTGTTGTTTTCAAGCTTGTTACTTACATTAACCAACAAATAATTGCAACAATTGTTATTTTGTTTGTTTTTATTTTCTATTTTCTATGTATGTATGTTTATTAGCTACAGCTGTTGCGCATGCGCCTTTATGTATATATTGTAAATAGTTTCAAATGCCAAGTAACTAAATATTTGTACATTTTTTGGCACTTTTAACATTTTCTTACTCTTTTATGGATTTTTGTTTAGTTTGTAGCTCATTTAACCGACTTTAGCCTATTTATTCATTCATTTATTTTTTTTAATTACGTTGTTGTATTTTATTTAATTTTGTTTTATTTTATTTTATTTTATTTTATTTTATTTTATTTTATTTTATTTTATTTTATTTTATTTTATTTTATTTTATTTTATTTTATTTTATTTCATTTAATTTTTTTTATTTTATATCATTTCATTTCATTATATTTTATTTAACCTTTTTTATTTATTTTTATTTTTTTGTTTTATTGTTTATTTGTTTCTTTATTTTCTTTCATTTATTTATTTATTTATTTGTTATTTATGAATACCAATTTATATATCCAATATTACACATATACATATATATTATATCGTTGTATAAAATCTGCAGATTCTTAATTTTCTACTTCTTGCCATTTACCATTCACTTTGCTACTCACCACTAATTGATTTTAATTGTTATTGCAACCGCGCTCCCGTCCTCCTGAGGTCAACTCGATATTTTGTCTTTTTCTGGCTGTCACTGTTTTTCACTTTTAACCCTTACTCCTTTTTTTGGAACTTCTTGCTTGTGCCTCGTGTAGAGTAGACAAAACTGTTAATTATTTCTTAAATTTTTTTCACTTGAGCAAAACTTGTACATATATTATTTTGCACTCTGCCAAACGTTTCTGTCAATTTGCACTGGCTTTCTTAATCTAACTGTTGTTGAGTAATCGTGCTTTATTCTAAAATCGCTGTAATGACCGAAAGCGATGTTTATTGTTATTGTTATTTTTTTTTATCATTAAAGCAGGTACTAATCTCTATTTTCTTTTACTTTTGTTCTTGTTCAATTCAATTGGCTTTCGTTTCTTGAGCGCGCACACTAAACACGTTGTACTCGCGTCCGTTGTACGCAAGTAACTGGTATTTGACAAGTTCCTGAGCTGATTGAAATAATGGTCGAAATGCGTACTCTGGTCGCTAGAGTAGAGTCGATGGAGTGAGGTGGTGATGGCGCGGCTCTGTTTGTGGCCAACTATTGCATGCAGTGGCTTTTTGTGCTCCACGATGTGCGCTTGCCACCTTCACTTTGGAGCTTTTGAGCGCAAGTAAGCACGACTTGACGCTTAAAATACTCAAAACAATTGGATACATATGTTGAAACGATAGCTCAACAGTTGTAAATATATACATATATAAGCATATGTAAAACACATATTATTCACAAAGCTTTTTTTCAAGCGCAACTGCAAAGCTCGTAAGCTTTTAAGCTAAGCTGAGAATAAGCATTCAATAGTGGAGCCAATCGACAGTATCAAGCCAAAGCTTTCTTAAAGCTCTTCATTGGTAGTAATGTGAAATGCTTGAGTTTATTAAAAACATCCGGTTCTGTAACCGAATACTTTTTATTACACAGTTTTAGTGGAATATTTTCAAAAGTTATATAATTGTTGATCGTCTGAAATCGCATGAATTGCATTTAATAATTTATAAATAGGAAAGATTAATAGCATTATCGTTAGCGGGATTATCGCAATTGGATTAGCGTTTATTGGAACACTTATGTATTTCTTTATTTATATTATGTACATCATGATTTTTAGTCTGGCAACGGCATATTTGTACATAACGGAAAATACGTCAAAGTCGAAAAAACAACTGGTACGACAGAGATTAGCGCAGAGGAGTTGGAAAAGACTGCTTACCTCGATCCATAACTATCGACCGAAACGCTTTCATTGTGGGAAAGGTTCGGTGTTTTGAAGAGACAAGCAAGACAAATGTGCAGGCAGAAAAAGCGAAAGTCCAAGCCTGATAACTGACCGACACTTGTAGTACTTAAAAATTCTTTGGGAAAATACGGTGACTTACAGAAAGTTTCTAGAGTTTATTAATGTAGGAAACAAGAAGAAAAAATCTGAATATCGATTGGTCGCCTGATCAACAGATCAGTTCCATGCATCAGTTTCTACGCAGAACATACCTCACGAGTGGAACCTTAGAGTGCTTCGCCCAATCCACAAAAGGGGGAGCCTGTGATATAAGCCTCCTCAATATCGAGTCATTGCCCCAACGGTTCCTATTCTCATGTATCTGTGGAATGCGGACTACTTTTACCTACATATATTTGGCAGGGTAGCCGGCGTAGTCTCTACTCTGAGTAATGGAATTCCAGAGAGTAGCAGTTTTCTATTTTAACTCTTCCTTTGCAAGCTTTACAAACCATCGACTAGTTTGCTGTTAGAGGACATCCGTCTGATGTTAAGGATCCATCAATTGTAACCTATAGTCAGTAACCCACTAGCAGAAATTCAAAAGAAAAATATGTGCGAAATTTCACAAGGCGCGCACGAAAGTCAAATCTGCTCTAGAATCAGATTAAGCATTGGATCAGAAGCTAAGCTACAATCACTTATTTCAGTTTCTTTACGTAATTTGGTCAGATGAGTGTGAGGCGAATGGGTCTGGTAGTGATCAAGTACAAAGCGAAATGTTTCACTCAGTTTCAATCAATTTCAATTGGTAGTCATAATATTTTAAAACTAATATTAACACCAACAACCATGCCAGCCTGGAAATCCAATGCAGAATCGCTTGGACTGAGTAGGCAACTGAAAAGTAAAGTAAACTCCTGGAGCCTGGATCACGTCGACGTCCACTGAGTCGGTTTTAGGTATCTTCGAGATGGTCGTTTGCGTATGGAAAACTATTTACCGTAAGCTGTAAGAGATACACTATCTCACTATCTCTCTCTCTCTCTATCTTCCTCTCTCTCTCTCCCTATCCTCCTCTCTCTCTCTCTTCTTATCTCTTCCTTCCTCTCTCTTTCTTTCTCTCTCTCTCTCTTTTTCTCTATTCCTCTTTCTTTCTTTCTCTATCTCTCTCTCTATCTTCCTTTCTCTCCCTCTCTCTTTCTCTATCTTCCTTTCTCTCCCTCTCCCTCTCTCTTTCTTTCTCTCTCTCTCTCTTTCTTTCTCTCTCTCTCTCTTTCTTTCTCTCTCTCTCTCTTTCTTTCTCTCTCTCTCTCTCTAAGATACAGTACCAGACTTTTGTCCTTGTCCCGTCCATTGCATCTCTTGGACGGCGGTGATGTCAGCCCTTAATTTTATGCGGACATCAATCAGCTGTGAAGCGGCATCTTCCCAATTAAGGGGCCGGTTATTCCAGTTGCACCTTCTCAAATCGTAATATTTAAAGCATTTGCGAGAGTTTTCATCCAAAGGTTTCTTCTCATCCGAGGATTATTTTAATTTTTCATTGGATTTTACATTTTTCATATGGTGGGTCCCAAACCCTACGCACAACCGCATGGGGTTCACGTTCTCACTTTAGCTCGCCTTCAAACGGACGTTTGTGGGCTACCCAGGGGATACTTGATCTAAGACCGGAAGTCGTGTGCTGCTTAATCCGAACGCAAAACAATCGTGTCGAAAGGACGAAAATTTCGTTGGCAGTGCTTCCCTAACAATGGTGAAAATATGTAATCCTTTCTATCTAACTCAATAGGCGAGAGAATCGTTCGGATGCGCCTCGCAGTTGTAAGGTGCTTTCGAACATGAAAAAATTTTGTCGTTTTCAGAGGAACTTCGTAACTCTGATGTGCTTGATTTGCCAAAGTCAAGTCATGAATATTTTGGCAATCTCATACTCTGTTTCCAATAGTCCATTTTAAATCGATATTAGCCGTCCTTGGAGCTTATTGCTTTGTCCGCTCACAGTAGCTGATTTCGGCTAATGGATCAATTCAGAAAAAAAGATAAAATAAAGATGAGTCATCCTGCAGCTAATATAAAATCAGCCTTATACGACCATTCTAAGCGTGAACAGTCTCGAGATCTTATTATTCCCAGTTGAAGTGTACTGTACCTCCTTCCCTATAAAACGTCAATCTGAATGTCGTATAGGATTTTTAGCTATTTAGACTATCTATTTGTCTTCTCTGGTACTTTCCCTATTACTTCTTCTATTGACCAAATGTGAAGTGTATGTATGTAGTTCATAAACATAACTCACGAAGTCTTGATAACAACAGATTCTGTTGAGAAGCTTTCCAGATAAACACCCGCTTGCCAGATTACGAAAGTGGATACTTCAAAAACATCAATATATAGTTCTCTATACACATATATGTATGTATGTATATAAGGATATAATATTACATAATTTTCATATTGCAATCTCTCAAGCATTGCGTTGCTCCAGTCGCTTTGTTTCTTCCATTTATCACCACTTCATTGCATTGATCATTGTTCCACATCTGTGACATTCACTAACGTATGTATGTGTATATGCATGTATATATGTGTACATATATAAATTTGTAAAATGAGTGCATTTTGTGTCGTTCACTGATAAGCTGTTGCTAGCAAGCGACGCGATTAGGACTATTGCATTTATTTTACTACAACAAAGAAAAAACACTCGAAAACAACCCCATAGTAAATTTAGTAAGGCCTTACCGTTTAAAAGTGCAAAGTTAATGCAGATCCATTGTCAATGAGCAAAATCAAATATAAATTCTCTCAAGAAAAAATTAACTTACTTACTTACTTTACACACTTAGATACCGCATACGCGATTTTAACAGATTTAACAACATTGCGCTATTCGTTTCTTCTTTTTGCTGTTTGGCGCCAATTGGAAATATCAAGTACATCCAGGTCCTTCTCTACCTGGTCTTTCCAACGTAGTGGAGGTCTTCCTCTTACTCTGCTTCCACCGGCATTTCAAAGCTGGAGTATTCGCATCCATCCGGACCACGTGACCTAGCGAGCGTAGCCGCTGCTTCTTGATTCCCTGAACTATATCAATGTCGCCGTATAACTCGTACAGCATCGTTCCATCGTCTGCGATATTCGCCGTTGCCAACGCGCAAAGGACCATAAATCTTACGCCCAACCTTTCTCTCGAAAACTCCTAACGCCGTCTCATCAGATGTTGTCATCGTCCACGCTTCCGCACCATAAAGCATGATGGGAACGATGAGCGACTTGTAGAGTTTGGTTTTCGTTCGTCGGGAGAGGACTTTACTTTTCAATGGTCTACTCAGTCCAAAGTAGCACGTGTTGGCAAGACTGATTCTGCGCTGGATTTCAAGGCTGACGTTATTATTGGTGTTAATACAGGTTCCTAGATAGACGAAATTATCTACGACTTCGAAGTTATGACTGTCAACAGTAACATTGGAGCCATGTCAGGAATGCGATGACTCTTTGTGTCATGACAGGAGATATTTCGTCTTTACCTCGTTCACTACCAGACCCATTCGCTTTGCTTCTTTATCAAGCCTGGAGAAAGCAGAACTAACAGCGCGGTTGTTGAGGCCAATAATGTCAATATCTTCGGCGTACGTCAGTTGTTGTACACTCTTATAGAAGATTGTACCTTTTCTATTCAGCTCTGCAGCTCTTATTTATTGAAGAAATCACACGACAAAGAGTCAATCTGTCTGAAATTTCGTTTGGTACCAAACGGCTCGGAGAGATCCTTTCCAATTCCGACTGCGCTTCGTGCGTATTTTTTGTTGCAAAAAATGCAAAACGGTTCATAATTAAGCAACCATGGATCGGCTACTATTGCAGCTGTGAAACAAAGTCTTAAATAAGACCCGAATGAGTCCATCCGCCATCGGACACAACAATTGGAGCTTTGTTCATCCACTTTTTGCAAGGTTTTAAGGAAGGATTTTGGTTTGCGGCCTTACAACACACAAATCCTACAGGAACTCGAGCAGAAGAACCATCGACGTGCGACGTGCTTGCACTTTCGGTGAATGCGCTCAAAACGAGATGGTCACTGATCCCGATGTTTAGAAGAAAATTTGATTCAGCGTGGAAGTTCACTTTAAGTTGGTTGTTGGATTAATAAAAAAAAATCCTGAAAAACTCACTGAGCAGAGGGGACACTATAGAGCTATGATTAACGACTCTTTCATGGCTGAATTGGAGGGCGTTAATGTGGACGAGTTTTGGGTCCAAGACGCTACATGCCATACAACCAATGAAATAATCAAATTATTAAAAGAATTCTTTTATCAGCATATTATCTCAC